CCCTGCCCCTACAGACCCTCCCTCGGGAATGGGGTCTCAGCTCAGCTCCTTCCCAGCACACCCAGCCAGGAGACACAACCCTTCCACCAGGATCACTTCTCTGGCCTTGTAGGGCCAAACCCACAGCCTTGTCCCTACAGAAGCTCCCTCGGGAAAGGGGTCTCAGCTCCCTCCTCGCCCAGCACCCCACAGCATCCCACCCCCTCCTCCGGCGGATCCGCGCTCCCGGCAGTGCCCCCCGGGGCAGGGGGGTGGGGAACACTCACGATCCGGTGCGCGGGGGCAAACTCTTGTGCACGACGCCCCTGCCGCCCTCCACGAAGGCCCCGGGGGGTTTGTGGTACACCGAGGCCAGCGTGCCGATGTGGCAGATGAGCTCGTCCAGCAGCGTGGGCTCGATCAGGTCCGTCTCCTCCGAGATGAGCGGCTTCTCCGCCAGCACCACCTCCTTGGCGGCCACCGGGTCCGTGGACAGCAGGCGCCAGTAGATGTAGCCCCGGTCCCGCAGGTCGGGGTTGTCCGAGTCCTGCGGGAAGGGCGGGAATCAGGGATGGAGCCAAGGGGAGCTGCTGCTGCACAGCTACTGCACAGATACTCCAGAGGTACTTGGAGCTGCTACTGTACAGCTACTACACAGCTACTCCAGAGCTACTCAGGGCTGCTACAGCTACTACAGAGCTACTCCAGAGCTACTCAGGGCTGCTACAGCTACTACAGAGCTACTCCAGAGCAACTGCAGCTACTCCAGAGCTACTCAGGGCTGCTGCAGCTGCTATAGAGTTACTCAGGGCTGCTGCAGCCACTCCAGAGCTACTCATGGCTGCTTCAGCTACTCCAGAGCTACTCAGGGCTGCTATAGCTACTCCAGAGTTACTCAGGGCTGCTGCACCTACTGCACAGCTACCCAGGACTGCTGCAGCTACTATAGAGCTACTCAGGGCTGCTGCAGCCACTCCAGAGCTACTCCAGAGCTACTCAGGGCTGCTGCAGATACTCCAGAGCTACTCAGGGCTGCTGCAGCCACTCCAGAGATACTCAGGGCTGCTGCAGCTACTGCACAGCTACTCAGAGCTGCTGTAGCTACTACACAGCTACTCAGGGCTGCTGCAGCTACTATATAGTTACTCAGGGCTGTTGCAGCTACTCCAGAGCTACTCAGAGCAACTGCAGCTACTACAGAGCTATTGCAGCTACTTGGAGCTGCTGCAGCTACTACAGAGCTACTCAGAGCAACTGCACCTACTCCAGAGCTACTCAGGGCTGCTGCAGCTACTACAGAGCTACTCTAAGTTACTGCAGCAGCTACTCAGAGTAACTACAGCTACTCCAGAGCTACTCAGAACTACTGCTGCTACTAAAAGAGCTACTCGGAGCTGCTGCAGCTACTCCAGAGCTACTCAGAGCTCCTTTTCCCATCTGAGTCTTGCTGGGAGGGATCACGGGGATACAAGTTCAGGAGCTCCACCATCCCGGGCTGGGAAGCAGCACAAGGAGCCTCCCGGGCCATGGGAGTGTCTGTGCTCTCCAGGATTTCAACTACCAGGATTCCCAGAGGGACTTGGGACATGGGATGGAGGGACAGGACAAGGGGAATGGCTCCCACTGCCACAGGGCAGGGATAGATGGGAGATTGGGAAGGAATTCCTGGTTGTGAGGGTGGGGAGGCCCTGGCACAGGTTGCCCAGAGAAGCTGTGGCTGCCCCTGGATCCCTGGGAGTGTCCCAGGCCAGATTGGATGGGGCTTGGAGCCACCTGGGCTAGTGGAAGGTGTCCCTGTGAGCTGGAACAAGACCTTCAAGGTCTCTTCCAACCCAAACCATTCCATGACTCTGCATTAAGCTCCCCATTACCTGCTGCCCCATGACCAGGCCATTCCCACTTCCCCAGGGTTGGGAAGCCCTCGGGAAGGCCCCGGGGTGTGACCCACCTGTGTGGCCAGGCTGAGCACCTGCTGCACCAGCTCCTGGGTCTCCGTGGGCTTCTTCAGGAACAGCTTCACGATGGCCGTGAGCAGCTGGAGCTGAACCTGGGGATGGACACACACAGACGCATCAGGAACACCGGGATTTTCCCTGGAGGAGCTGCCAGGATCTAACCCTGACCTGCCCTTCGAGGGACCAAAGCCAGGGTGGCCACATCAGTGGTGGTGACATGAGCCAGGGCACCTCGTGTGGCTCCCAGCCAGCTGTGCAGCCCCTTCCCAGCCCATCCCACACCCTCGGGAACACGGGGCGATCCAGATGTTATGGGACAAGATCCTGGGAGCAGGTTACACAGTCCCACAGGCCAGAGCATCCCCTGACTTCCATGAGGATAAGCAGCAGGAATTGCCTCCGACAGCCCCTTCAGGGACCTCAGGGAGTCAGAATCCCTGGCTTGGCTGTTCTGCATTTCCAGGCTTTGCCCTGCTCACTGTCCCTTAGTTTCACGGTGCTTGGAACAGTTTTCCACAGGTGGAAACCCTCCACAATTCCACAGGCAAACCTCATCAGGGCAGGGCAGGGCAGGCACAGCTCCCTCTGCTCATTCCAGCTGCCTGGCTCTGTTTCCCAGCTCCGAAGGGCTGATCCTGTGCTGGCACAGCGGGATGAACCGGGTGACCTCCTGGTCCCTCCCAGCCAAGAAGGGCAGGAGGTGCTTGGGACAAAACCATGGTGGCATTTCATGGAACCATGGAATAGTTTGGATTGGGAGGGACCTTAAAGCTCATCTCGTTCCACCCCCTGCCATGGGCAGGGACACCTTCCACTGCCCAGGCTGCTCCAAGCCCTGGATCACATCCTACACCAGAGCTGCTGCGGAACACGGTTGCTCCAAACACCTGGAAGAGCAACACCTTCCCGCTCCTTTAGAGCAGACTGTTCCACCCCAGCCAGCACAAGCTGTGTCACAGTGTCCCCCTCACCCAGCCAGTCCTGCCCCACCTGGGTGCTCTCATCGTGGAATCCCTCCAGGAAGCTCTCCAGCAGCTCGTCGGCGTTGTCGATGCGCTCGGCGTATTCCCCCACGATCCAGATCATGGCAGCCCTGGCCTCGGGCTCATCCAGGGAGTCCAGGTTCTCACACAGGGTGGCAATGACACTCTCGTACCTTCCCCAGGAGGAGATGACACGTGTTCACTCACCAAGAGCAGGAAACCCAAACCCCAGTCCACCCTAACTCCAAACTCCATCCCATCCCCCTCAGCAGAACCAGGGCACGGCTGAGGGCACCTTGCCCGGGGTTGTTCCCTCTCCCCAGTGCCCTCATTGATCCCAGAGCACATTCCCTGCTCTGGATTAACCCCTCAGCCCCACTCCCCTGACCTGCTCCTCTCTGGAGCCGTTGGCTATTCCTGCAGAGCTCCTGCTCGTTACCAATTCACTTCATTAGTATTTATTCCCACTATTAGTCCCCGACTTCCTGATTACAGACTTGCCTATTCATCCTGGCTCAGCTGGAACATTCCCTCCCCTCTCCTCCTGCTGCCCTTGTTCCAGCACCAGGAGCTGGATTAAGAGCCAGAGCCAGTTTCTGCTGACGCAAGGAACCTCCACATCCCCGGCAGCTCCCTCCATTGGGGTCCCTGGTTCTGGGACTGCCATCCCAGGGGGAGGGCTGGGGGCATTCCTGGGGCTGGGGGCAACTTTCCTGCCTCCAGTTTAACTCCTGGGGCAGCGCTGAGCGGCGAAAACCCAAAGCTGTGCTGCAGGGAGGCTCAGGGGGCTCCATCCCCCATCCCTCCCCCACTCCGGGGTCTTCGTGGGCCCCCCGAGCACAGAGGGGCAGGAGGGGCTCACCCAGGCCCACGCACTTGTTGGGGTACTTGCGGAAGATGTCCTTGATGACCACGATGGCCTCCTGCACCACGTAGTTGACCTTGGTCTGGATGAGGTCCAGGAGGGTGCTGACACAGCGCTCGGCCGATTGCTGCCGGAGGGACTCGGTTACACCCCCTGCCAGCCCCATCCCAAAGCCTCCACTGCCATTCCCACACCTCCTCATCCCTGCCATGCACCCCCCAAACCCAACCCAGAGCATGGGGGACACACGAGTGTCCCAACCCAACCCAGAGTACAGGGTACACACGAGTGTGGTCTCCCCTTCACACCCAGGTCTGGCTCCTCCTCCTCCTCTCTGCCCATGGGAAGCATTCCAGCCATGCAGAGCCAGGTTTTTAATAATCCCCTTTGGCAAATTACTCCAACAGGGAAGCAAAGCCTACAAGGAGCCCTTTGGGAAGGGATTGGCTCCCTCCGAGCCCTTCAGGAAAGGATCAGCTACCTCCCAGCCCCTTGGGAAGGAATCTGTGCCCTCCCAGCTCCTCGGGATGGGATCAGCTTCCTCCTGGTCCTCAGGAAGGGACTGGTTCCTTCCCAGCCCTTCGGGAAAGGATCAGCTTCTTCCCAGCCCCTCGTGAAGGGATTGACTCCCTCTCAGCACACCAGGAAGGGATTCACTCCTTCCCAGCCCCTTGGGAAGGGGTCTGTGCCCTCCCAGCCCCTCAGGAAGGGATTGCCTCCCTCCCAGAACCTCAGGAAGGGATGAGCTCCCTCCCAGCCCTTCAGGAAGGAATTGTCTCCCTCCCAGCCCCTTGAGAAGGGATCTGTGCCCTCCCAGCTCCTCAGGAAGGAACCAGTGCCCTTCCAGCCCTTGGGAAGGGACCAGTGCTCTCCCATCCCCCTGGGAAGGGATCAGCTCCATCCCATCCCCACTGTGATTCCCAACAAGCCCCTGGCACTGCAGTACCACCCCAGGCAGAGCTGCTGGGTCTGCAAGGGGGCACGGGATGGGCAGGGACCCTGGAACAGCTCCAGTGGCCAAGGGGATGAAACACCCCCCTGACACCCCTGTGGAACAACCACAGCTCATCCCCAGCTCTCCAGGGCAGCGCCAAATCCCAGGATGAGATGCCCACCACGTGCCTTGCCCAGGCAGAGGTGCCCCAGCCCTCACCTCCACCTTGATGGCACAGCGGCCGATGGCTCTCACCGCCTTCCGCACAAAATCCACATCCACCTCCGTGGCGTATTCCTTGAGCTCTGCCAGCACCTGAGGGAGGGGACAGCACGGTGAGGGCCTGGCAGCGAGGACAAGCCACCAGGAACACGGGGCAGTGACCCAGCTGGAGCAGGATGGGTGGCACAGTGACAATGAGTGGCACAGCCGATCCCGGCCGCATCCCACGGAGCTGGGGCTGGGATTTGGATCCCCCCTGGTGCCCTCCCCCGGCCCCTGACCTGAGCTATGTTGGCCTGGGAGGCCAAGCGGATCATGATGTCCAGTTTCTCCAGTTTGACGTAGATGGGGTCGTTGTACTTCACAAAGAACACCTTCATCTCGTGCTTCAGGATCTCAGGCCTGGCGGTGGCAGGAGGCAGAGGTTAGGGGTGGACACACACACTCACCTCCACCACAATTCCAAGGTTTTGGAGGCCTGTTCCGTGCCAAGGAATCCAAACACCGTGATTATCCTCCCAGGGTTCCGTCCCACGGGGAAACACGGAGAGGGAGCAGCTCCAGGCCAGGAGGATGAGGCTCCTTGGCCACAAGCACAAGGTTTTGGGGGCCCATTCCAACCAAGGAATCCAAGACAGCACAATTATCCCCTCAGGATCCTTGGCTCCCCTTTGCAGGGGACAGAGCACAACCTTGCTGCAAACACAGGCCAGACGTGAGGCAACAGGGGCCGTTTGTCCTGCCAAGGCTGGAAGGGACGTTTTGGAAGGAGCAGGGACACAAATCCAGACCCCAGGGCTAGGCTGGACCTTTCTCACCAGCTCATCCTCTAAGCTGGGAGAGAGCTAGGCCAAGTCCAGCTCCAAGGAGCCAACCTGCCTTCCACATTCCTGCTCCCAGGGACACTAATTGCTTTCCTCTTTTCCCAGAAATTAGTGCTATTTTTAACAGACGACCACGGCGCTGACTGGGAGGAGGACAAATCATCTGACTGTGGCTGTGGGCAGAGCAGGGCTCTCCAGCTGGACACTTCTGCTCCAGGCACACGTGTGGGGCCTTGGACACCTCCAGCCCACCGGAATTTTAGATCAGCAAAGGGACAAAAGGACTCTTAGCACTTACTCAGGGAGGACAAAATCCGACAGCACAAAAATCCCGCCCTAGACACGGAATGACCAAACCAAAGTCTCTCAGCTTTTGGCTTTGCCATCCTTTGCTGGCCCCAAATAAAGAAAAAATTAAACTGGGCTTAATTCCCTGCTCATTCCCTCATCTAACTGACTCAAGGCCAGATTGGACAGGGCTTGGAGCAACCTGGGATAGTGGAAGGTGTCCCTGCCCATGGCAGGAGAGTGGGATGAGTCCTTTCCAACCCAAACCATTCCATGATTTTACGACTCTCTGCGCTGAGCCCTCGGATTTTAAACAATGGAAGGAAAAACCCACAGGATGGGTCATGACACTGCTGCAGCCAGAGGGATGGAGGCACTGGGAAGCAGCACCCGTGGGGAAGAGGGAAAGCTGGGCACGCACCTCTTCTGCACGATGAGGTTGATGTTGCGGAGAGCCACGTACTGCAGCTCGGGCTCTGCGGACAGCAGGGTCACCAGGGGCGGGGCCAGCTTCTTCAGGAGCGTCCCATAATAATCCAGGTCCTTGGAAAGCATCTCCATGAACTTCATCAGCACCTTCACGGCCGAGAGCACCACGGCGGAGTTGGCGTGGGACAGGCGCGGCGTCACCCGCTCGCAGATGCTGCCGGGCGAGGAGAGGGGAAAGGGGGTGATCCCGGCCCTTCTTCCCGCTCAAAAGCTGCTGCCAGCATGGATGAAGGACGAGGCATTCGCAGGAAAGCTGAGCAGTGCTTGGGACCTTCCCAAGAGACGCCGTACAGGCTCTTGGACGCCCCGATGAAGGTTATTCCCCAGCCCTGCAGAACCCGCTCGCAGTGACCCCGTTTTGGGGCTCCCCAGGGCCTCCTGTCCCCTGCAGCCACATTTTTTCAGCTGATAAAGAAGCACAATCCTGGTGCCAGCACGGGGACAAGAGCAGGGCAGGCTCCAGATGGCCATGCCCAAGGCACGGGAGCCAGCAGATGCCCGCTGTCCCACCTCCTGCAGCAGCATTCCAAGGGGCAGGAGGATGCTCAGAGGAGAAGGGGCAGTGCCAGGCGCTCTGATCGACACCTGCCCATCCATCCCCTCCCTCTCCAACCCTGCTCCTCGGCACCACGGCAGCACCCGGAGCCTCCCTCACCTCTGGGCTTCCCGGTCATCCTTGGGCATGTAGTTGGCCAGGCAGTCCAGGATGAAGATCTGGCCCCACTCAGTGCACTCGTTGAGGGCTGTGAGCAGCTTGTTGATGGACTGGGGGTTGAGGTCCAGGAGGTTGCTGCTGGGGTGGGACTCGGCTATTTCCGACAGAGCCGCCACCGCGTTGGCCACCACCTGCCAGGGGGCACGGGACAAGGGTTAGGGGACAGGGCACGGGTTAGGGGACACCAGGGTGGCTCCTGGGGGAAAGGTGGGGCAGGGGGATGAGCTGCTTCCTCAGCATCATCCCACCGACATCTGGGCACCAGCTCCGACTCCCACCGGCGGCTCCGCAGGGGATGAGCCACCCCCACCCCGCTCCCACCGCCCACACACCACATCCCCAACGGCTCCCACGTGTTCCACAGGAATCAGCCTTGGCCCCCTGCCCAGCTCCCCTTCCCCAGGCAGCTCCAAGGAGCCCCATCCCTCCCTGCACAGCTCCTGGCCTGGCTGCCACGCCCGCAGCAGGAGGAAAGGCTGGGGGGAGAGAAACCCTGAGGAAAGCTGGGTTTAAAGTTCCTCATAAAGCCTGGGGAAAGGGAGGGAAGCCAAAGCCCAGCTGCCAGGAAAACCTCACCAGAGGCAAAAGCCACTGGCTATGTGGGATCAGAGGCAAAAGCCACTGGCCATGTGGGATCAGAGGCAAAAGCCACTGGCTATGTGGGATCAGAGCCAAGCCTCTGCTCCGAGCTGTCCGGAGCAGCCTCCTCCCCACTGGGAACAGGGTAATAACACACAGCCAAGGAATGGGAGAAACCCTCCATCCAGGAGATGGGCTTACAGGGCAGGGAAAAGCCTGCAGCCCTGAGAAGCAAGAAGTCCCCAGCAGTGGCCTGTTCACTGTTAACACCAAAATAGAGAGTCTGGAAGGGAGTCTGGGATGCGAAGATGAATTAGGGCATTTCCATCCATTTGGATGGAGAGAGGGCGGAGAAGGCAAAAGAAGGATCACCATGGGGTTGGAGTCGGAGATGAGATCCTTCAGGGTGTCCAGGAAGCCCTGGTCCTCCACCAGCTGGGCGTTGATGTCGTGCAGCTTGGCCACGCAGACGGCGGCCGTCTTGCGCACGTAGGGGTCCTCGTCCTTGAGGCACTTCCGCAGGGGCTCACAGAGATACTCCGTGATTTTATCCACACGGATGCAGCCCATGGTCCGCACGGCCAGAGCCCGGATCAGCGGGTTTGGGTCCTCGCAGTCCTGCAGGGAGCAGAGGGGAGGTTTGGTGTCACAGCCAGCAGTGGTGGCTTCAGGATGTCCGGGTTGGTTTGGGGTTCCTCAGGCGCTGAGAGTTTAACACACTCGACAACAAGTCCCCCAAGAGAAGTTGGACCTCTTGTTCTGCACCCACGGGGTTATAACGCCACCAGTCCTTGCTCCCAGCACCCCCAGGAATCTGAACTCCTCATCACTTACACCAAACACCACAACCCAGCTGCCACCTGACCTGGGAAACGCATCTATTGCGCTTATCTTGTGGGGTTTTTCCTGCCTAAAAAACCCAAATTCCCTCTAATGCCCACCAAGTCCTTTCCACAAAGCAGTTTGGCAACACCTTGGCTCCTAACAAACTCTTCGGCTCCCAGCTCCAAGGGGAAGATCACGAGGGCTCTCCCAGCACACGGGCTCACATGACGGCAGCTCCATCACGGGAGCTGCCCACAGCCCCGACAGAGCGAGTGGCACGGGGTGGCTGCCAAAAAAACAGCTTTCTGCATTACTGAGCAAATTTAATCAGTTACCAAGAACCAGGAGAGCTCCTCCTCCCGACGGGAGAGGCTCTGGAAAGCTGCCCACGCTCCCTTTGCAGCTCAGTGCAGTGACCCGGCACTGGGTCGAGCTGCCCCTGGTGACTCTTGGACTCACACCCTCTGCCCTCACCTTCACAAAGGTGTTCACTGCCATGATGGCCATGTCTGGTTGGCTCTTGGCATAGTTCATCAGGTAGAGGTAGACCAGCTTCTTCAGCTCCAGGTTGTCTGTCTGCATGCAGTTCACCACGTCCGGGAAGAGAGCGCTGGAACACAGAGCTCCCGGTGAGGGCAGGACATGGACATGCTCCCGGAGGAGCCTCCTTCCCATGGCCCATCCCCTCCTGCAGCCAGGAGAACCTGCTCTGGAGCCAGGCTGGGAGAGCTGGGGGGGTTCACCTGGACAAGAGAAGGCTCCAGGGAGAGCTGAGAGCCCCTTGCAGGGCCTAAAGGGGCTCCAGGAGAGCTGGAGAGGGACTGGGGACAAGGGATGGAGGGACAGGACACAGGGAATGGCTTCCCACTGCCAGAGGGCAGGGACAGATGGGAGATTGGGAAGAAACCCTTCCCTATGAGTGTGGTGAGGCCCTGGCCCAGGTTGCCCAGAGAAGCTGTGGCTGCCCCTGGATCCCTGGAAGTGTCCAAGGCCAGGCTGGACGGGGTTTGGAGCAACCTGGGCTAGTGGAAGGTGTCCCTGCCCATGGCAGGGGGTGGAACGAGACAAGTTTTAAGGTCTTTTCCCACCCAACCCTTTCCAGGATTCTATGATTCCATGACCTGCAGCAGATGTGGCTGAACTGCCCGTTCCCAGTGGATTTGATTGCATGGATCTGTATCGAGACCAGCCCAGAGCAGCCCCTGAGGGACCAAAACTGAACGCTGGACATGGTTCTGCTGTATCCCAGCCCCAGCCCACAGCCCTGGCACAAGGTGCTGGACAAGGCTCTCAGGCACATGGTGTGATTTTGGGGTGTCCTGTGCAGCACCAGGAGCTGGACTCCATGATCCTTGTGGGTCCCTTCCAACTCAGGATACTCCATGATTCTGTGCACCCTCACAGGATGGAGCCAAAGGGAAGAGCCTCACTCCCTGGGGTGATTCCTGATACAAGGATGCTCTGCTGGGATGGAGTGGAGCTGCCTGCACGGAGCTGGGGCCTCCCCTTCCCAAATCCCTGGAGCTGTGGGATGCCAGAGATGCTGTTTCATCCAAAGACAGACCAATTAAAGCCACAGACAGACCAATCAGACTATTAAAGCACCCCAGAGAGGCAATTAGGATCACAGGGGTAAAACAGGGGTTATCCCACCCTGACAGATGTCCCTCGGCTCCTGGAAGCTTCTCTGTCACTGCAAACCCAGCCATCCCTGACAGGATCAAACCCAGGGCACCCCTAAATCCAGGGAAGTGCCTGCTGAGCTGCCACCCACCGTGGCTGCTCTCACCCCGGGCTAAACCAGGCTTTCCTGGCTAAACCAGGCTTTCCTGGCACCTCCTGGGGAGCAGTGAACTGAGGAACCTGCCCTCCTGCAGCCTAAAATATGCACGCACCAAAAAAAATGGGCTGACACGGCCAGAGAATCATGGAATGGGTTGGGTGGGAAGGGACCTTAAAGCCCATCCAGCTCCACCCCCTGCCATGGGCAGGGACACCTTCCACCAGCCCAGGTTGCTCCAAGCCCCGTCCAACCTGGCCTTGGACACTTCCAGGGATCCAGGGGCAGCCACAGCTTCTCTGGGCAACCTGTGCCAGGGTCTCCCCACCCTCACAGGGAAGGTTTCCTTCCCAACACCCAACCTAAATCTCCCCTCTTTTAGTTTAAAACCATTCCCCCTTGTCCTGTCACCGTCTGCCCATGTAAAAATCCCCTCTCCCTGTTTTCATAAGCCCCCTTCAAATCCTGGAAGGCCATATCCACATGATCTTCTCCATGGTGGTCCCAAGACAGCCCTGCTGCTGCTCTGGGAGCAGGGACACACCAGCTCTCCCAGCACAGAGCCCAGGGTGTGTTTTCCCTCCATTTCCTCTCCAATGCACCGTGAAAACCAAACTGCTGATGCTGCTCAGGGGTGTGCAGGGCCAGGTCCTTGCAGGGAGAAGGCACAGAGGGGCCATGTGCTGCTCAGTCAGATGGAAGGAGGCAGGAAGGAACAGCAGCTGCCCCACCTTTGGGACTGGAGCGGCTGCAAAAGGCTCTTGGGCAGCGGGGCAGCGACACAGCCCCTCTGCCACCACCCCTGGGGGGCCCTGCTTGTGCAGAGCAACACGTGAGGGGAGAGGGAATAATCCCAACCAACTCATCTGGCAGCCAGACCAATCCTCTTTCAGCCAGATTACAACCAAAGCCAGGGGAGCTCCCGCCTGCCCGGCGGCCACGTGGGCACAAAGTGCCCTCCGGGAGGCAGAGCCGTGGCCAGGAGGGTGCTCAGGCCTCTCCTGAGGGGAAAACCAGCTGGAAAACCCCTCGGAGGAACAGTGGGAAAGGGGAACCTGCAAGCTATCCGGGTTTGGAATGGCTGGAGCTGTGCCAGGGCAGGGTCAGGTTGGATCTCAGGCAAAGGTTCTTCCCCCAGAGGCTGGTTGGGCACTGCCCAGGCTCCCCAGGGCAGTGGGCACAGCCCCAAGGCTGCCAGAGCTCCAGGAGGGTTTGGACAACACTCTGAGGGACAGGGTGGGATTGTTGGGGTGTCTGTGCAGGGTCAGAGGTTGGACTGGATGATCCTGTGGGTCCCTTCCCACTCAGGCCATTCCCTGACCCTCTGGAATCACAGACCTGACGTCCTTGCCCACAGTCATGGAGGCGATCACCTTCTTCACAGCCTCCTTCTTCTTCTCCTTCTTGTCACTGTTCAGCTCAGCCTTCAGCTCAAATATCTCCCCTGGAAAAGTGGGAAAAAGGGGAGCTCAGGGGCTGGGGAAGGGACACCCCACCCTCTGCTGGTGAGGGAGGGTGGGCACAGCTCCCACCCCCTGCATGCCACCTTCAACTCCCACCTTTGCCAGCCCTGGGAGGGGGGATTTAACTTCCCAAATGCCTTGCTGGGGGCTGGGGCTGCTCTGGGGGCTCAGCTCTTCTCCATGGAAATGGATACCAGCCTGCTGGGGCATCCCCATAGCTCCTGCAGCCCTGCAGGAACGGGAGGTGCTGCAGGAGGGACCAGCCCCCCCCGGGCACAGGGGGTTATCCCATGGGCACTTTGGACACACAGCCAAGCTCCAGCCCCACACACAGCTTTGGGAGGCCTTGTCCTCCCTTCCCTCCCTTCCCAGAGGATGGCAGGTCCCCCCAGCAGGCGGATTTTGGGCACTGCTCCTCCAGCCCACGTGAGGGATGGTGGTTCCCAAACCCCCTCTCTGCCTGGGGCAGCGATTCCCCAGCCCAGCCCCTGCAGACCCAGCCAAGGGCACCACCTCCTGCCCTCCTGGGGCCTCCTGAGCTCCTTATTCCCTGCCAGGCTGGCAGGCTGAGGAGGGCCACGCCACATGGCTCCTCTCCACATTAATTCCTCGCTCTGGAAAGTGCTTAAGGCCCCGAGTGCTGCCCAGGGGAGCTCCTGAGCCGCTAAAGCCGATCAGCAGCTGCCACCAGCCCTGCCAGGGGCCTGGGGACAAGGTGTCCTGACCCCAACACCGTCCCAGGAGCTGCTCTGGGTGTCACAGCGAGGAGCAGGGTGGGGTGTCAGCCACAGCATTCCCACGGGAGCTTCCCCCCACAGGGACAGCCCTCCCTGCCCGGCTTATGGTGTAAGAACCGGGTGCTTTTGGGATGAATGGTGACATTCCCACTCCCTCCCTTACCTTTCTTGGTGGTGGTGAAGTACTTGGAGTCCGTCATGGTGGTCCCAGCCAGCAGCAGGTCCCTGGGGGAGAGGCAGAGCACGGAGGGTGAGGGTTGGGATTTTCCTGGCTGGGGAGAGCTCCAGGAAGGAAAAAAATCGGGGAGCTTGGGATCGCATGGGAAGAGTCACGAGGAGCTGAAGCCCCCAGGGAAACCCTCAGCTCCTGCCCATTCCCTACGGGAGGGTGAGCACCCTGCAGCTCTGGGATGAGGGAGGAATCAGCTGGTTCTCCAAAGGGGATGTGGAGGAGGAAGGGAGTCACTGAGGATTCCAGGGGTCAGCCCAGGCTTTGCTCAGCCCACCCCGCTGGGCAGCAGGGGCTCAGTGATCCCCCCTGGGCTCACCCCTCCTCATCCAAAAAGTGCTTTTGGAGGGAAAACTCACACCCAAACCTCCCTCACACCCGCAGGGAACAGCTCTGGGAGGGGGGGAGGAACTGAGCCGAGCCCAAGGCGCAGCTCAACGGGACAGAGCAGCCGAGGGGGATCAAAGGGAGCCTCTTCCAGACTTCCAGAAACCATCCCTGCTCCAGCAGCGCTGCTTTAAATTCCAAGGGTTCGAGGTTTCCACCCAGCACTTGAGGCCCTCTTATATAATTCAGGCAGTTTAGGGCAGATTTAGGGCTTGGCAGCTGAGGAGGGAGATGTGCAGGGAGCAGACAGCCCTTGGGAAAGGTCAGCGGGGATTTGGCTTTTACGGTTGGTTTTCCCATTTTTTTCCTTCGACAGGAAAAGAATCCAGAGGCTTGTCCTTGAAAGCCTGCAGTGGCCTTGCTGTTCTGGAGGGGCAGGAGCACAGAAAGCAAAGCCAAGTGGGAAAAAAAAAAAAAACAGATAAAAAAAGAGCATTTGGGGAAAAAAAAAAAAAGAGGAAGAAAAAGAGCTTGCGGAGGGGTTTAAAATGCAAATGAGCTTCTTGAAAGCCAAATGCAGCAGCAGCACAGAGGAACTGTGTCCTCTGTTCCCTGTCCAAGCTGGATAGGGATCCCCAACAGGGATAAAAAGGAAATCTGGATGAAATCTGGGGGCTGGGAACGCTGGGCAGAGCACGGAGCTGGGCCGGGAGGAGGAGAGAAGTTTGCACGGATGTGGGGCTGCTCCGGGGGCTGGCAGTGCTATTCCAGAGGGGGAAGCCTGTCACCGTGCTCCCCCAGCCCTGCCAAGGGAGACAGGACACTCCTCCCTGCTTCCCTCAGTTACCTGGGATTGATTGAGAGCCTTTTTTATCCCGCTAAGTCGGTGGCTCTCCAGGGAACAGCGGGAGCTCCGGGCTGCAGCAGCTCTCTGCACCTCACTGCAGATCCCGTCCTGCCACACAGGGAGGAAGGAAGGAAGGAGGATTCACTGCAGTCCCTCTGCTTCCAGGACCTGGCTCACGCTCAGCCCTGCTCTGCAGAAGTGCCTGGAAAGCAAACTTGAAGCCGAGCAGGGAATTTCTGCAGCCAGAGCAGGGCCATGAATCACTCCTGCTGCTTCCCGCTCTCCCAGAGCCCCCCCCCAGCACCACAGGGTGGGATTGTTGGGGTTCACCCACCCAAAACCCCACCCATGTGTGCTTTAGAGCCACCCAAAATTCCCCTAATTCCAGAGACAACCCCCCCACTCCTGCAAGCCCCTCCAAAAAGCAAAGGGTCTCCTGCAGCTCGGGAATGAAGGTGCATCCCTTGCTGCCCACACCAACATTCCAGGTGGCAGGACCAGCCTGGAAGCACCCCAGGGGGCTGAGGGGATCCAAACCCCTGCCAGATCCGGGTGCTCAGCACCCTGTGTGTGTGTCCAAGGGTGACAGGGCAGGGCTGGCTGCCAGCCTGGGATGCACAGCCCCTGCTGCAGGTGGATTCCCAGGAGCCCAGCCCTTGGAAAGGGGCCAACGCTGCTGCCTGGCTCTGCTTTTAAGGATGCAGAGCTGGGAGCTGCAGGAAGGTGTTTGCAATTCCCACCCAGCTCCTTTCCACGCTCAGCTCCCAGTGAGAGGCAGATCCCGACAGGCAGGAGCAGCTCCTCCCTCAGGAAAAGCGGGATGCAGGCAAGGAAACCAGGGAGACCAACCACCCCCCACCTCGGGGGGGCTCAGGTTTGGTCCCATCTTCGGGCCAAACTTTGAAGCACATGGATTCAAGGAGTCAGAAGTGCCCTCAAGGCTCTGGAAGCAAAGCTCAGGGGGCACCCGGAGCTCCCCCACACCCACCCGGGGCTCTTGGGCTCCTCTGGGGGGAGATATGTGTGGGCTGTCGCACAAACCCACACTCTCCAAGGCCACGGGCTGGGCTCTCCAAAGTGGTTTATCCCTGATTTTGTTCCCCAGGGTAGATCCAAGAGCTCCACAGGAGCCGCAGCAACGCTGCTCTCCTGAGGCTCCAGCCCTGGCTCGGGAAGGGGGCCCAGCCCAGCCAGCACATCTGTCCCAGGCAGCTCCCAAACTCTGCTCTCCCAGGGGAATAAGAGGCTCCTGAACCCAAAAGACAGCAGCAAACGTGTCCTGGGGCTTCCAAGGAGGCAGCTGCTTCCAGAGGGTTCCCAGAACAGCCTCGATCCCCAATGAGCCATGGCTGGTGGAGGAAGAAAACTCGTTTCTTCTGCTCCTTTTGTCACCTGGTTTGGGTCAATTCCTCCATCCTTGAAGGCTGAGATGCTGCTGAGCAGAGTGTTCCATGGAATCATGGAATGGTTTGGGTTGGAAGGCACCTTAAAGCTCATCCCATCCCACCCCCTGCCATAGGCAGGGACACCTCCCACTAGCCCAGGTTGCTCCAAGCCCCGTCCAACCTGTCCTTGGACACTTCCAGGGATCCAGGGGCATCCTCTAGGAAATCCATTCCAGGGTCTCTCCACCCTCACAGGGAAGGATTCCTTCCCAATATCCCATCTATCCCTGCCCTCTGGCAGTGGGAAGCCATTCCCTGTGTCCTGTCCCTCCATCCCTTGTCCCCAGTCCCTCTCCAGCTCTCCTGGAGCCCCTTTAGGCCCTGCAAGGGGCTCTCAGGTCTCCCTGGATCCTTCTCTTCTCCAGGTGAACCCCCCCAGCTCTCCCAGCCTGGCTCCAGAGCAGAGGGGCTCCAGCCCTGGGAGCATCTCCGTGGCCTCCTCTGGACTCACTTTCAGCTTCCAGCAATAAAAACCTGGGATGGGTTGCAGGGACAGTCCTGCTGCTCTTCCAGAGCAGGGAGCCACCTCAGCACTCTGACAGCCTGTAACCCGTGCCCAGGACATCCCAAATCCCTGGTTATCCCAGCAACAGGGCTCACTGCAGCTCCCTGGTCATTCCAGGGAATGTGACAGCCCAGAGCAGGAGTTCACTGGCTGCCAGTAAATCCTGATCTCCTGAGGCTGATCCGTGTCTTGGGAAGGGAACAAAGGCAGGAGCTTCATCCAGCCCAGCCCTGCACACACATTCCTGCCTGCCAGGGGGGACAGGCTGGCACCCAAATCCAGGGAGAGGAGAGAGGAGCAGGAACTCAAAGGACAAGCTCCTGGGAAAGGGCTCACCTGGAAAACACAGGGGCAGCTGGAGGTTAGTGGGGAAAGAAAACTCCCAGTTCCAGCTGGGAGTGAAGCACTTGAGGGCCAAGCTGGCACAATTAAGGGAAATAAAGGCAGATTATAAAGAATTAACACTGGGATGTGTAACTGGAGCCGTGGGGAATCACACACCTGCTCCCTGTTGGAATGAGGGAATTCCAAGCCAGGCAGGGTTCAAGCCCACACTCCAAGCACATCCCAGGCCCTGTGGATAAACCCCAGGGCTGGCACAGACACCAGAGGGGAAGATAAACACCCAGTTATGGAAGAGAAGAACCAGAGGCTGAGGATACAAACCCCAGCAGCTGAAGAGCCTTGTGCTGATCCCAAATCTCTCCCCTCCTTCCAGCAGTGAAGTGACGTGGTGATCCCACCCCACAGCCAACGTGGATCCCACAGCTCCCATCCCTGTGCTCATCCCACCTCTCCACAAAGCCCCAGGGGCTCACACCAGCCCCACACACATTCCCTGGAAGATATTTTTCCTAAGTCTGGCCTAACTTGAGCCAGTCTCAGCTCAAACTTGGCTCTGCAGCAACGCAGGGCTGTGACTCTGCTGCTGAAGCTCAAGCTCAGCTCAAACCTTCCCATCTTCCCACCAGGACCATCCCATCCTCATCCTCATCCTCATCCTCTCACAAACCTGCTACTTGACCAACCCAGGAGCCTTCCAAGAGGCTCCATGTCCATCAGCCAAGGGGTTGAGGTGCCCCCTCGGATAACTCGGGGGTAGGAGCCCTGTGCCAGCAGGGAGGTGCCCAAAATCCTGGCAGATCCGTTCCTTGAGGGACGTGAGATCCCGAAGGGGCAGCACACGGTCCATCATTAACCCAGAGGGAAGAAGGGCCACGGCAGAAAAATGAGCTGCAACTACAAAACATCCCATCCACCAATAACTGGGGAGTAAATCCATGGACAAAGGAAGGTCCCAGGGTGTCCCCTGCAGCACCCACTGCCAGGATCCCAGTGCTCCAAGAGCTGGGGGGATTTTTAATCACCTCAACAGGGATAACAACCACAGGGACCCCCCAGAACTCCAGCTGAGGGCCCCCAGGGATGCCAAGGATCTCGTTCTGGAGGTGTTGGGACACGCCTTCCTGTGGCACAGGGCATGTTCTCCTCCAGGAAAGCATGTTCTCCTCTGCAGGGCTGGACACCTCCTGCCATGGAATTAATTCCCAGCCTGGCTTGATCCAAGCAAGGTCCAACACCTCTGGAAAGCCCCTGGGGGTGCCAAGGCCTGTTCAGCAGCCTGAGCCCCACAGGGAGCAGCCCCCCAAAAACAGGTCTGGGGGCAGCAAACCAGATCGATCCAAAGCTTATCCCACTTCCTGTCACCCCAGGAGAGAGGGGACACAAAACACCCCCTGGACCCCCAGTGCTGCTCGGGATGGGACCCCTGAGAGGGGTTAAAACTCTGGGAAACTCTGCTCAACACAAAACACCTGCAGGGAAGAGCAACACCACCTCCAACAGGGCTCCTCCAGGCTGGAGCCTTTTATCCAGCCACTAAAGCCTC